GGACTTGTCAGTCTCGCGCGTGAGCGTTTAACTTTTAGACCACTGAGCCGGAATTCAACGGTATGAATGTCTAACCTCAATCAATCCGCAGAATTGCGCGACCATCTTCTATTGTTACTAGTAACTAGCTTCGTGAGGGAAGTCTCGGAGTTCTAGTGAGAAGCTTTGACCAGTGGTAGAGACAGGTATCTACCTCAGTACAATGAAAGATGGTCGCGCAATTTCGTGGATTGGTTGAAGTTAAACATTAACGCTATTAGATGCTGGCTCAGTGATCTGGAGTTTAGGCGTTCGAGTGTGAGACCGATAGGTCCTGTGTTCGAATCCCGTGTACATGATCGTGAATGTACACTGTCAAGGAGTCGTACAATAGGATGAAACGGTCGTCCAATGCTTCCAGGTTCTCAATGGTGATCTAACATCAATCAGTTCATGATTTCAGTCAAAAAAATAAATATACCCATATGAAGTCAGTAAATTACAAGTTTCTTTCGTATTTACTAGATGAATTCATTACTTACATTAAAATTACATAAACCTTATATATTATTCACAAATTTATTAACCAAAATGTATACATCAATCATATCAATTAATGATAAAGTCATATCATAACAAATACAACATACAATTCATACAAGGCACTATGAAATGTACTTTAACCAAATATTTAATATTACAAGTTACATGTGACATAATTACCAAGTGAACAGAAAGAATAAAAATATTTAAGAAGAATTATGACAATAATCCAGGTAAATATCATAGTTACACGAAGTGAAGATTCTGTTTAGTTTACATTATTGAATAATAATAATAATAATAATAAACTTAAGTAAGTTTACATTGTAATTGTATGTAATTTTTTTTTCTGACAGTTATACGTTCCAATGTGAATGGTACATACAATATCCGGACTAGTTCGATTTGTAACAATGTTATAACTTGTAGCATGTGTGCCCTGTTAATGGATAACATAACGATACCGCCAATTAGAGAGCAGTGAATTATCGATCGAATCAATGATGCGTAAAACCTGTACGAGCTGTCCAGAGCCCTTATCGGTCCTGCTTCCTGCCTAGACCTGCCTGTTAAGTCCAGGACACTAATCCCAGCCTCTGAGATATGAATCATGTATTTCAAACATACTGGATTTATATATCAACCAAACAGACCACAACATAACATAAAATATGAAACAACATTTGTACAAGAGTTAGCCAAATGTGGCTGTGAATGACGGAGGTAGTAATTAATAGACAGGGAATAATTCAAGAATGGTAAATCGTGCAATAACAGTTCATGAGTCAAAGTAAAGCTCATAACATGAGGGACATTAATATGAACGGTTTAGTTATTTAACAATTATACCGATAAAGATATACGCATATTATTGGTCCATAAATGGATCCCAAAAGTTACCATTCATTACGGTTATCGGGACATAACAAACAAACAACTACCAAAAACTAGGAAATAACTAAGTAAAAAAAATTCATTTGAAATCTGTAAGTTCATTCATAAGTTTGTTAATTATAAAATAATTTAATCCATTTTGATTGAGTTGATGAATCGATCGATGTTAGATCACGATCGAAAACCTGAAAGAACTAGATGGCCGTTTCATCCTATTGTCGGATTCTTCAGCAGTTCGTATCCACCATCTCGTATACGGGATTTGAACCCAGGACCTTTATTCTCACAAGTGAACGCTTAATCTCCAGACCACTGAGCCAGCATTTAATAGTATTAATGTTTAACTTCAAACAATCCACGAAATTATGCGACCATCTTCCATTGTCTGAGGTAGATACTTTTATTTTTATTTATAAACATTGATCTAAGAAGAAATCAAATAAATATGCGCCACATAAATCTTTCGACTTATGTAAGGACTGGGATACTTCCCGGGTGCCCAAATCGAAGGAGATGGTTTTCCTAGGGGGCCACACCCCGAGGCTTTGACCTGAAGGTCTAATCCACAGTGAAGTGGAGCAGCATAAGGAGATGTAGTTTCATGGTAGCCAGCGACTATCCGTAGGTTCATACGCCATTTATTCCCATGTGTGGTTTGGAATCAGGGTTTTCTAACTACCCTAGGTGTACCCTCTATATCCACCAATCCCGTTAGAGCGCCGGACATTCGCTTTTCATCCCATCAACTTCGTAAACAACACCCCCCCAATAGAGGGCAGTGATTAAGACTTCCCTGGCAGTGGCTGTATACGCGTGGCCATGTGGGAGCATTTCGAGAGGAAGAGCTGACTTTCCCGATTCTCGGCCGTACCAGGACATTCGAGGGTACGGATTAACTCTACTGGTTATGGCTTCTCACTAGAACTCCAAGAATTACTTCACGAAGTTAGTCACTAGTGAGTATATGGTAATTATCAGTATAGTATCGTTATTAAATAAACTTATGTTTTGAAATGTCTCCCGATGTTATATATTGGTTGTTACTAAGACAAAACTGTACATTTATTTGATTCTTTAAGAAGATATCTTAAAGCTTGAGACTTGAATATTCGTTTTTCAAAAGTTAACTATACATTTTTTGATTATACTTTAGTAACTTAATAAGAAACAAGGCAAAGAATCATTCTGTACATAATATATATAATAATATTCCGTGATATACATCAATTAGTGATAAGCAAAGTTGAACATAGTTTACGTGTGAATTAAATCAGGTTGATACATCACATTAGTTCAGAATGAGGAAAGAACTATTCTAAACATCTAAGTAATAGTTATAGTAATATTAGTGGTGTAAAACTCAAGATTAAATAGAAGGATAAAGAATGAATGCATCTATCCCATTGCAACCGATTCTGAAACATGTCACCTGTTGTCTAAAACCACCCCTCACGAAAATTATACTCATTCTAATCATGTAGTCTTTACCTACTTACCAACTAGTCTCAATCAGACAGTTATTGTTTCTGATAAATCTATGATCAAATGCTAGTAACGTACAAATTTCCCCAATTTTAAATGTTATATTTCACATCTGTGTAATGAAGTTCTGTGCAGTATACACTCTTCTTGGTTGACAGATGGGCGATTTGCCTAATATAAGGACGACATAAGTTCTCATAAACAGAAAGGCTTCTCTTTAATACGTGCCGAAATCTCGTCATACACTAACTTATCAACGACGTTGAGACTTCCAAGATAAGTAAAATGATTGATGCACTCAACTAATTTCCTATCTATAACCCTCCAGTCGTTGACTTTTGTGAGCAGTTTTTAATGTATTGGCTTCATAAATTTCATCCTTTATCATTGGTGATGACGATGGAGTTTGATTTGAGGGGAGAGTTAACCACCTTCCGTTATGGGAAAGCAACTTTTCTAAAAATGGTGGTTGCCCGAAGGACACAGCTTAATGCTACCATATTACATACAGTACAGACGGCAGTACTAGTCTACCCTCAGACTAAATTTCTGCTTTTAAACTTCCTGGTCTCCAACTGATCTGGCTTGTATGTTAGGACCTAAATGAATGAGTGCCTCAGACAATATAGCTCGATTGGGTGATCATGGCAGATAAGAGTGCCCATAACACCAAGGTATCAGGTACGCTCGGGTATATATATCTTCTTCGTGATAATTAAGGGAAAAAAGGAAACACCAATCAAGCGACTTACAATTTTAGAAAGTTCCTCTGATGAAACATGTTTTATGACTACAGGACTGGTGAATTAAACAGACAGAAAATCACATCTAGGTAGGGCAGTGTACAGACTAAAATTATCAAATTAATCAGTACCACGTAAAGGAAACTAAAACTAATAAAAGAAACAACTGTTTATCCTCATACAACAGTTTACGTGATGCATACATAAAGCATTTAATTTGCAATTGATTGATCACTGAATGGTGATCATTGTCACGTATGTCAGGTCCTTTTTAGTGTAGATCGAATGCTATTGACCAAGTTGCAATGTGGCCATCAGTCTAGGTGACTCTACATGGCGTACACTATGTCGAGATAAGATGGTGGTTGAAGGTAGTTGAGTCACACTGCGACTTGGTCGATTACATCCGATCTGCACTAAGAAGGGCCTGGATAGCTCAGTGGTAACGTCTCTGACTGTAAAGCTTGGTGATACGGGATCTAACCCATCAGGGAGTATCAGTTCCATTAAGATTACAAGTACACCTTGCTGGCAAGTGTCAAGTATCATGAAACCTAGGTGCAGGGTTTCCTGTTGACTACCTCTAACCCCTATCATATAAAGTATTTAATCACAAACTATTGTATTGTTGCGTAATGAAGTAGCCCAAGTAGATGTTTTTTTAAGTTACATATGCTCATTATCAATGGAAGCTAATACACTAGAAACTTACAGTTGGATCTATCTATCAACTAGATTCATGTATCAAATATCATCTATTCCCTTAGCATGTTCATTTCCCTATAGTACTCCACAAAGGTTTTGAAAAACATAAACGTTCAATACTGAAATGTAATACTAGTGATAAAAAACTTGCAAAATGGCCTTGTAATCATAAATAAATACCAACATAATGTAATCATCACTAAATGTATCCATGTATCCAACTAAAGTTTTTCTATTAACAATGTATCGTATTTTCATTTGATTATAATAACAACAAAGAGAAAGGATACTGCGTGGGAATATGGTTATACTTGTATATTGATCAGTAAACACATTTGTGAATTCTGGCCATGTAAGTTTGTTATCACGCAACAATCACTAAATGCATAGGTATCGAAACAGAATAACTGGTCCTTATGCTTAAATAAGGTAACAAGTATGATTAGAAATAACTTAGTGAAGTAATTATTCTATAGTGCGTAAATTGTAAGTCATTAGCTAACCAACAATATTGAAACCAGACTATCAAGTTTAATCGTATCATAGTTAATTACGTAATTTCTCGAAAGAAAAAATTGCGCATTCTGTCTAAGTATATTACCTGTCTTCATGAAGTAAAATCAACCATCTATGAAATCAGTTTTAACAGCTGATATGCTACATATATGTAACTAATCATACAATTGAAAGAAACAAATCAATGAATTATGAATTAGTTATTCGCATTTTTATTTTGTTTCGGCATTACAATACTGTTGAGTTGCTTGGTAACACAATTCTGTGTGTATAGTCACAGATTGATAATTGATTAGTAAGATGTGTGTCATATGAGAATTAATCTTTTTGAAGTAAAAACAGAATATTGGAATGTAAGACTGAATAGTTTCACAGTATTTGGACGCCGAGTTGATATGAGACATTAAAGAGGAAGAATGTATTGAAGGAAATTTCCTTGAAAAAGCTTAAACCAAATTGCTAGGTGAAACGTGAGATTTTCTTCATATTCATTCTCTGAGATTTTATAAATACATTCTTCCTCGTCAGACTGAATAGATTAGATATATAACTCATTTCAGAATATTATAAATGATACCGCTAGGGTTGAAGCTATCACGAGTTCACTTAATCTGCGAACGAGAAACAAGACTCGGTGACCAAAGACCAGTAAGCTAGCTATTAATGCGTCCCAGCACCGCTAACTAGAGGGAGAAGTCCAAGTTTGGAATGGGGAAGTATATTCTGCAAACAGCCAGAAACGAGCGATAATAACAAACACAATTCAAAACGTATATATACAGTAAAAAACCGTCCTTGGGGAGAGTTACCATAATAGCATACTAAAAGACGCAACGGACCAATAGCATTTAAGATATTTCCCAATGGGAAATACGACATGAAGGTGACAAGAGCGCCTTAGGCGCGAAAACAAAGAAATTCAAAATTTCTAAATAAAATTACAAAATTAAGACCTTTCTCAAGTGAGTTCTGGGGATCTAACGTCCCCAACAGATACACAATTAAATCTGAACTAATGAGCATTCACTATCATTTATTCATTTGATCCTAATATCAGTTAATTATAATGACGAGGAATGATATTCTGGGCCAATCAAACATCGGTTAAAAGATAAGATTTAACTTCATTTTCTCAAGAAACAGATATAAGCTAGCGGTTGAAAAACGAAACTTTGTTTTCTAAGAGAATAAGATTTGGTTCTAAACAATAAATTTTTCTGCTTATTCTCAGCTTTCTTATACAAGTAGCTAATTGGGATCATTTATAGTAAGCTTCCATACTGGTGTACATAACGGATAATAATGAAAAATAAACTATACTATGTAAAGTGAAATTTTACTGGTTGAAACACATAATTTTCAAATTGTAACCACATCTTATCTAATTCCATTTTTCAAGCCTTCAAACACATAATCATTTATTGCTCAAATCCAAACAGCAATCTATATTTTAACATTCAGTTGAATTGAATTAAATTAATAAAGTAGCATATTAATATCAGAAGGGTTTTTGTAGATCATGAGTCAATTGAAGCTAGACCAGCATGGAAAACCAGGAAGCACTGGACGACCAGTTTCGTCCCATTGTAGGACTTTTCAGCACAGCACATTCACGATTCCGCCTTGCGAGATTCGAACCTATTAACATTAACACAATTGAACTCCGGTTCAGTAGTCTAGTGGTTAAGCGCTCGTGCGCAAGACTGATAGGTCCTGTGTTCGAATCTCGCGAGGTGGAATCGTGGATGTGCACTGCTGAGGAATCCTGTACTAGAACAAAACGGTCTTCCAATGCTTCCAGGTTTTTCATGGTGGTCTAGCTTCAATTAACTCATGATCTCAACTATTGAAATTACTATAATATCCACAAAAATCCTTCTGATATTAATCAACGTATGCTCACTATTGACTGGCTTCAAGAGATATTACCTGAAGTGAGAAGCCGTGACCGGTGGACTTCAATCTGTGTCGAGTACGAGACAGTTATCCACCTCAGACAAAGGATGAAGAGTTGCTTAAGATAATGGATCAATTCAAGTTAGACATTAACACCATTGGATGCCGACTGGCTTAGTAGTTTAGTGGTTAAGCACTCGCGCGCAAGGCTAATAGGTCCTGGGTTCAAATCTCGTGTGGCAGGATCATGAATGTGCACTATTGAGGAGTCCCACAGTAGGACGAAACGTCCTTTCAATACTACCAGGTTTTCCACGATGGTCTAGCTTCAATTGATTCATGATTTCAACCATTCAAATTAAATTAATTGTTCCAAATAGTAAAATTTCATATATTTATCATTGAAACAAACAATTAAAAGGAGGGAAAAAACAGTAAAGTTATTGAATTTCTTTTATTTTCTTTTTTTTTTAATGAAACATGGCTTAATTCTAAGAGACAATGAAAACAAAGAAGCAAAATAAAAAAGGAACAAAAACATAAAATTCTTCACAAATACAACAATAAAATAATCTTTGAAATGAAAATAACATGGAACATAGTAACTAAGACGTAGCAACAATAATAATAACAATAATCGATCAAAATATTTTTTTACAGAAATCTTTGTTTTGTTCTGTTTATTTGTTTTTTTTTCTTTGAAAATCAATATCATATCAAGGTGTTTAGTATGTATTTATTAATAGTAATATATTAAACTGTATGAACAAACTCTTACTATGATTATTATTATTATTATTACATGAAGGAAAGCAAGATTACGTAACAGCTTGTTTGTTTTTCTTTGTATTCATAAAAAAAAAGAAAAGAAAGAAGAGAGAAGAAAAGAATGAAAGAAAAACAATTAAAATTAACTAATAAGCAAAATTGAGACTATCCACCAAGTAACTAACAATAACTTATTCGTTTCCTTTTCTATTCGCAATTTTAATATTGTTATATATATATATATATATATATATATATATATATATATATATATATATATAGAGAGAGAGAGAGAGAGAGAGGTTGGGAGGGAGGGAGGGAGATGATCCATTACCTTGAATCGATTATCAAAAATAATATAGATGCTCATAAATCAATAAATCAATAAGAAGATAACAGTTTCATATTATCTATGCATTTAAGATTATCATATACTTTGGACAAATATCATTGGACAACATATTCGCTTTTATTAACCTAGAAACAAGATATTCAAGATTGAAATAGTGAATATTTATATAAATGATATATGAAATGTAGGAGATTAGGATTAATCTAATATTGAACAACAACAACAACAATAACAGCAACAAAAGAAAAGAGAAGAAAGGAAGGGAAAAGAAAGAAAAAAAGAAGCCGAAACAAATAAACCGCTAAAATGATTTTATGAACAATTATCATTATTATAAATAAGAAACAATAAGCAATGAATAGAGGATATGTGTTGCTAGGATAAAATAAATAATGAATTATTTTAAAGTAAACTGGGTTTTTATCTTATGTAAATAAAAGATCCTCGAAAGACATATGGTTTATATTAATCCACAGCATTTAAAATCATACAAAGGCTTATGTTGTGTACTTTTGTGCGTGTGAGTGTGTGTGGGGGGGGGGCGTGTGTAAAATTCATGGACAGTAAATGTAGTTTTGAATAAGCTATTCATAGAATTAAAATAGTATAGTATTTCATTCAATCTTGTACTTTAACAATATTTTGTGATTGATTATGAAAATTAGTAAAATCGGATAGATTATCTGTTTCTTCTGCTTCTGCTTCTTCTTCTTCTTTATCATCTTCTTCATCTTCTGAACCAGTAGGTAAAAGAAAATCTCTTGAAGGTGAAGCAGATGAAGCACGAAGTCGATGTTTTATACGTTTACGATTACGTTTAGCTAAATTAGAATTGAATGTAACTCGTAGATTTTGTGTATTGATTTTGGAAATTCTTCTAGCTTGAGGTGTTGAAAACTAGAAAACCGTAATGAAATGAGAAGTAATCAGTTAGTGATTTGAATATAATATAAATAAATAAATATTCATTCATGTATTGTTTTTGAAGTACGTTTTTGTAAAAGAAACGTGTAAAACCCGTAATTGATATACGAACACAAAACACCTATACAGAATGGTTGTACCAAAGTTGAATGATGGTAAATCATTTGATGAAGTTGTAAATCTTCATCGACTAAGATGGTTGGGCCACTTGGTACGTATGTCTGAACATCGATTAACACGACGCACAATGCTGATTAGTGTAGGGGATGGTCGGAAAAAAGTTAGGGGCGGACAAACCAAAACGTGACATCAGTCCACAAAGTCACTAACTTCTAGTCTGAGTCATGTTGACAGATGCACACTACTTGTTTGGGGTCCGCATGACTATCGTAACCAATAGTTGGAGACTCTGTGTGACATGGCTCGGGATCTATCACAATAGCGTGGGTGTATACACTCTCTGTCTTCCTGTAATCTACGAGATTAAAATCGCTTCATATCTTTCTTTCTACGGACACTATTCTTTCTTCATGCACTATGTCCTTATATGCAGTCTTTCTTTTATATATTACCATTGTTGAATTAACTGCTTTTATGAATCCGGTGTTCATCATGTTGTGCTAATGAAACATGGCAACTTGGACCGATGCATATATGTGCGTGGTCCTACGTTGTAGCTGACTGACTATACCAAAGTTGTTGTACACAATGTCAAGACTTAGTTTCATACTGACTTATTGGGATAAAATGGAACTAAGGAAATACCAATATATATTGAGATTTAAAGTCATATTGTACTACCAAACACTATATTTCGCCCGTTCCGAGTAGTGTCTAACGAAATCTTGGCACGAATTGAGAAAGCCCAGTTGGTTTTGCTAAATTGCTTTACTTGAAGAGTAGGCAAGATATCTGTCTCCCAACAAAATAACTAGTATACCGTTCAGTAGTTCACACCGTTCTATCTGATGGCTGTGAAGTGACACCTTTAAAAATAGAGGATACCAGTAGTTGACTACAGATCTCTCTGGGTCACTGCTCGTATATTTTGGGATTGTGCATTGGCAATCCTGAGGTTAGAAGCATTTACTAGGTGAAAATGGCAAGTCGATGGACAAATTGATGAATCTTTATCGACTGAGACGGTTAGGATATGTATTATGTAAGCTTGTCCACCAATTACCAACCACCCAAGAAAGGTTGGGACGGCCGTGCCAAAACATGACAGCAGTCCATGAGGACACTGACTATTGAAGCGAGCAATGTAGGTAGGTGCACGATTGTCTTAACCCATTGTTAGAAACTTTGAACGACAAAGCTCTTTATTCTCCCCTCGATCCTGTTTCTAAATTCCCCATAAATTTTATGTTCATCAGTTTACATTTACTGGAAATGTATCTTGGACACCCCAATCTTCTTTATTACTATTATTAATGTTATTACCTCTACTCCACTGGGATTCGCTTTGACAGTTTTATCTATCTGTGTTAATGCGGTATTGCAGCTACGACTGATGTACCAGTTTCTACGTTTCATTTGACCGACTGAGTGTCATCATTGACATATAAAACGAAACCAATAAAATATTTCAAAACCACGGCAAATTTACATTGATTAACCGCCTCTCGGTAACTGGTTTCATGTTTATCGAATCCTTCCCATCAACCAAGTTATTATATTACCAGTAGTTCAAGTGGTTCAACACTGTATATACTATTTTTGGAGTTTAGATGGTGGAAGGAGGCCTCAGGCATGGATGTCTTACTATCTGGAATCAGTCAGCAAGTCGTGTCTAGAAGTTTGAGGACTTGCGACACCCATGAGATTCGGAACTGAATCACTCTAGAGTTGCAATATGAGGAATCATAACAGAGCTATTCGGCTCGTAATTTATTGTTCGTAGGACTAATAAATTTACACTAATTTATAAAATCTAATCTCATCAATAATCAAACAAAAATGCAGTTGACTTTTTCCCGATTGCCTTCAATCACCAAACATTAATTTGTAAAACAAATTCTATGGACGTACTAAATTATTGTCGAACTCGGTGTTAAGCTTTCATCCTAGTTGGAACTCGACGCTAGTTCGAATTTCATGAGTACAACTTCTGTTAATATTGCAAATATACCCAATTTACGAGCTTCCAGTTGACTTAGACAGTCATTTAACATTTAGAAAATTTCCAAACCGGTGATTCAAGTCACCCTATTTCATGTTATCACAACTAGTTGAAAACTGAAAGCAAGTAAATCTAAGCATGAGCATTAAAATTTAAACGAAAAGGAAAAGTTAAAAGAATCAACACAATGAATAAAAGTACTCAATAATATTATATTTAGTATTTGGAGAAGGTCAAAAGATTAGTGAGTTTATAACCGATTTTAAATCACAATCACTGATAGTTACAAACTACTGATTTTATTTATTCAGACTATAAAATCGTGAAGCTTTCAACAATCTAATCATCTCTGACAAATAGTAACCCTTCATTTTCTTAGTGAACTGAAACCTAACATAGTCCTATCATTACAAGATAAATCATGATTTATTGCATATTAGAGAATCAACAAAGAATCCTTTCCAGGGGACAATAGACGAACTCAATAGAAAAAGAACGGTATATAAATGGTTATTGATTCATGATGAACAGGCATTTGCTGAAAGGATATCTCCGTGTTAGTTGTGGGTTAACTATACTCAAGAATCGTTGAATATGGAAGACATAAGATAATCAAGATATTTGTTGTGAATTCTCAAACATTCATAATCAATCATTAGAGCTCTTAGGAAAATACTATACAATTGTGTTGTCATTCAGTCATATACAACATTCAGCCTGATGCATATGTCCATCGGTTAAAGTTGTCACACCACATCAACGCAGTGAGATAAAATTATTTCAATACAGGTTCCAGAGTAGTAGCAGTAATAGTGGTAGAAAAGATTAGGTATAGAAAAATAAAAAGAGAGTAATAGAAAAGCTACAAACTTAAGACTATTCCATCATTATTTGTATCCCTGTTATGATTAATACTACTATTATAAGTAATATTGGTAGTAATGTAGTGAACGAGAACACACATGGGTACAACCAAATGTATTTAAATACAGAATTACAGAACAACTTAGTAAAATCTGAGAACCATACAGTAAATACTTCATTTGCAAAATGTTAATCAATTGTCTTATACTTGATTACTCCTTCATTTCCACATCATTCTCTGCTCTCATCGACCTTCCTAACCTTCTACCGCCAGGCCTTTTACTTTCAATTAATAATACATACTACTTATATCTGTCGATATCAGTAACACACATCATAGTAGCAATTGTTGTGTATCAAAGTGTAGCACGAAAAGATAATAAAAAACAATCCTTTATACTTTACTTCTTCCTCTTAAATGTTATATCTTAAGGTAATTCATATCATAATTATATCTCATTTAACATGTAATAAAGATTTTGATAAAAATGTTTTAATTGAGATCATGAACTGATTAGTGTTAGATCACCATTGGAGACCTACAAGCACTGAACGGCCGTTTTGTCCAATTGTGGGACTAAAGGTTAAGCGTTCGCGCGCAAGACTGAAAGCCCTGGGTCCTAATCTAACGAGGGGGATCGTGAATGTACACTGCTGAGGTGTCCCAAAATAAGACGAAACGGTCGTCCAGTGCTTCCAGATTTTCAATAGTGGTCTAACATCAATCAGTTCATGGTCTCAATCAAAAACTTAATAATCTCCACGGCCTTATAAGCATTAAAAAAAAGTTTTATTCAACTTAATATTAAACAATATATGTGTATAAGAAGTTTTAGCCTTGGTAACTAATCGAAAAAAGGTAACAAACTGTATCGATTCTTTATTATTTTTCTTTTAAAAAAATGTATATAAAAGTATCATATGATCTAGTTTAAAATATGAAGTAAAACAAAGAAAATTCGGAACTTTAAATAAACCACGTGTAAAACTGTGTAACCATGACTTATAACTATTTTGATTATGTTAGAAATAAAGAGAGAGAGAGGGGGGATTGAAATAGTAATTAAACAAGTTGGTTTAATATTTAATTGAGACACATTTAGACAATGAAAAACAACAAAAAGGCTGATTGTAAATGTGAACGTGTGTTGTATAATTGAAAATAAGGATATCCCGTTTATATATGCCGATTTACTTAATTATCTTGTATAATATATGTAAGATGAAATAGTAATTTACTTTTAATAATTTACAGAAACTCATTAACCAAATACAGATTTGTATTTGCGGCTTTAAACTATATTTTGTGTACACTAATCAATTATTCTAAAGCTCTTCAAACAGGTAAATTCATTAACTTAATGGATTAGTACTAGGAAAATATGATGAGTCGGTTAATGAGGTAGGTAGTAGATCCTTATCAACTGAAATGATTAGAACATGTATTATGTATGCTCAGTCATTTTGATGAGCGATGATTGTTTGGTCTAGAAGTAGGCTAGAAGAAGGCTGTGGTGACCATACTAAAATGTGGGCATCAATTCATGTAGTTATTGACTGTTAGAAACGTGTCTCAAACATTCTTCTATTGTGGAAAATCTTGGTGGGTGGTCTATGCTCCTTTGCGAGAGGTAACAGGCGTAAATAAGTATTTCAAAGTACACAAATGGTATCAAATTTTAGTTCAATAAAACTGACTTTTGACAGCTAATTTTTCGATGGTGGATTCGAAAATAATTCTACTGAATTATTTCTATTAGATAAGCAAGCATTGGCAGGCAATAAATACCACGTGAATTATATATTTGAGCTTGAATGAAACCGTATAAGCCACTTAAAACATACTTCATTTACTTATGTATTAGAACAGATAATGTATTTAAAGGTGCTAACTATAAATTTGTACTTTTAGAAATTATCATTTTATTAAATACATTTTACCAATTCCGATGTACCTAGTCGAAACCTGAGATAAAAATTAATATGAGGAAACAGATTTCACATCAACATCGTGATGGTTTACAATTGACCGATCACTGGGTAGTGACTAATGTCATGTATGTCAGGTCCTTCTTAGTGTAGATTGAATTCTGTCGATCAAGTTGCAACGTGCACACCAGTCTAAGTAACTCCACATTGCATGCACTATTTAGAGGTGTAAGGTGGTGGTAGATCTCCTGTTGACTACTTCTAACCATCACCTTACACATTGTGGCCAGTATGTTAATCAACTCGAATATTACACAGCAATGTGAAAATATCTTCAATAAAAAACAAACTATCCCTTCATTTTCTGAGTGCTGTTCCGATTTTAGGTCTCACAAAATTGCTGTCTTGATCTGACAGGTAGACTAAACTTAAGTCAGATACTCTATCCCAATATTTTATGATCAATGAACACAAAAAATTGAATGATACAATGAATTATTCTTAGTATATGGATTAGTGGAGATTGTTGAATGTTAAACTAGGAGAGAGTGGACAGCTGTTCTGCCCCCGGGATGGGACATACCAGTAGTGTGGATTTATAATACCACCAGAGATCAAACACAGGACCTTTGGGCCTCACGGCGAGTGATTAACTTTTAAAACACTGAGTCGTGTAACTCAGGTTGGTACATCATTTCAATAATATTATTACGTATAATATTATTACGTATATCGGTGATCATTCAAGAAGATAATTTTAGATGCTCTTTATCAAATTTAAATATTAGACATGGAAAGAATTGCATTTTTAGAAAAATAAGATTATATGATCGAATATACAATAGTCGAGAAACTAATAAAAGCCAAGTGACATAAACATCGAGCCTAAAACAGTAATGAGCCTCTTTATGATATAAAGCTTAGAAACAACAAAATGAAACTAAGGGAATAAAAGACCACAAAATTTTCCACAAAAGAACAAAGATAAGTGAAAAGTGAAAGATAAAACAAATTGGTTTCTATGAATGATTTGTAAAATAATGATCATATGAATGATGAATGTTAAACGTCGGTAAATTCTCAGCTGTTTTATGGCAACAGCTAATTAATCATCAATATTTCAACTCTTCCCTAATTACTACTAACTGATTAAGCAACTGTCAACCAACACCAAGGTCAGGATTTTCAATACAAATGTCAAGACAGTTCTACTGTATGGAGCGGAAACTTGGAGAACTACGAAAGCTATCATCCAGAAAATACAGGTGTTTATTAATAGTTGTCTACGCAGAATACTTCAGATCCGTTGGCCAGACACTATCAGCAACAACCTACTGTGGGAAAGAACAAACCAGATACCAGCGGAGGAAGAAATTAGGAAGTGGATAGGACACACGTTGAGAAAAGCACCCAACTGCATCACGAGGCAAGCGCTAACTCGGAATCCTGAAGGGAAGTGGAGAAAAGAAAGGCCATAGAACACACTACGCCGGGAAATGGAGATAGATATGAGAAAAATGAACAAGAATTGGATGGAATTAGAAAAGAAGGCCCAGGACAGAGTGGGTTGGAGAATGCTGGTCGGCGGCCTACGCTCCATTAGGAGTAACAGGCGTAAGTAAGTAAGTAATATTAAGTATATTGGGGATAAATAAAGCGTGAAGAAGTAACATATTAATACAACTAAGCTTTCGATGGAGAAAAAAAATATGATCCTTAGTTTTAATGTTCTAAATTCTAAATTGTATGCTACTAATCAGTAGGAAACATAAAGGTCAACATATGCAATATCGTATCCATCAAGGGATAGTATCAATTAAATAAATATTTTCAGACTAACGCAGTTAAATGCACTAAATTGCAAATCTTATATCTAATACATACATTACATTGAAAAAAAACAAAAAACTGAAGTCAAATAAATATTAACTTACCTGAGATAACTTTCTTAAGCATAAATCATCCACTGGTCTATGATTATTCCCATTGTTAAAGTTGATATCTTCAAAAATATCATATGCGTCTGTTTCCAAACAACTATAGTCAGAGTTATTATTATTATTATCCACAGCATTGTTATTTTGATCTTTATGAGATAGCTTAATTGTAATAGGAGTTATTGGCTTTGATTTGGTAAAATGTTCATCTTCTTTACGAATACCAGTATTATTATTATTAATGTTAGTGCCTGTTTGACCAGAGACTATCCTAGTTTTGTTATCTGTATTATTATGAATACGTGTATTACTTTTATCAATATTAGTGATAATCACGTCATCCGGTGTTAAATTATCAACGTGTCTAATATCACTATCACTGATGTTATTATCTGTAGAACAAACAAGATTTAAATGTCCTACATTCTCTGTTGCTGATGTTGATGTGCAAGTATGAGAATAATCACTGACACGTCCAGAATCAGATAAGTCTAATAAATATTTATCATGGCTATCATTGTTAGATGTCAGTGATGGTGGAATACGAAAGGCCCAACCCGTTGCATTTAATGATGAACTTAATCGATATGATAAGGACGCTGAATCATTTGACATAAGAGAAAATGATGACTGATGAACCTGAGTTGAGGATGGAGATGTATTCAAATGATAATGAAGTTGGTGGTGATGATGGTGTAGAGAAGGAGGAGGGTGTGAATGGTGATGATGATGCACGAAATCTGTACACGTTTCTTCATTAGGATCAATTAAATCAGTTGTAGAAGATTCAAAAACACCTCCATCAGTTGATGATAAAGAATCAGACGCATCAATCGGTGGGAAGTTTAGTGAAGATTTAGGTTTTCCAGTTTCACTATGACGATAATCACTTACACTAATCGAATGCGGCTTTGCATACTTTAAAGTCGTGTCAGAAGTATTACCATTAGCAATAGAGCTTGTCGGATACAAAGGGTATAACCATTCAGCATCCCAACTGTTATCCTTAAATAGATGTGCCAATTCAATTATAACCTTGCCTTCTTTGTATCGTTGACTAGGTTCAAAAGCGCGTTCATACTTCCAACCTAGTGCTGTATCACAACATGCACAAAATATATCAGCTACAAAATGCAACCCGGTCAGAAGAACACGTTGTTTAGCTTCAGCGCAACGAACATTTACAGCCTAAGGAATAAAAAGGCAAAATGCGAGTAATGAACTTTGTTAATTTACTTTACATTATCAGCGTCGTCCATCGATTTTCGGACAAAGCATAAGAAAGAGGGTAAGATAATTTATGACCTATATTGAATGATAGTTCCTGATAATAACCTTCTTGAAACCCTACATCACCCTCAACATTTCCCAAGGAACCCCTATATGCAAAGACTTAGCAACACCAAAACCCCAGTAGTTTTTTACTTGTTTGACCGCGCAGCAAATATTATAGCCTATTGTTTTACAACGAAAGATTTAAACATCTCTAGTGTAGCCCAAATTTCACAGTCAAGACCTTAACATTTACTTTAAAAAAACGGTAGTTATACTCATTACTACTTAATAATACTGAGATTTTTACCGTCTTTGTATTTTAGTTATGACTGTACTTCCCTGAACCTGATATATACCATTACTCTGGTCCTGACAGAAGTTAATTACCCTCTTTCAAAAATTACCATTATAATTCTACATATGTTGAGTAGTTTAGTCAGTTAAAAATCGGAACAAGAATGAACACCTAAAACGAATATTTATGCGGTGTCCACATAATGGTTTTAAGTTGACTAATACAAATAACATTGAAAAAAATAAGAAAATCCACCTCTGATGGGTAATATAACAGTCAGATTGAAGTAATTTGGCTTACTTGTAGTCTTTTATTCCCAAAATATAGTGTTATACTTGCTTTAGCTACATCGCAGTCGAAGCTAAAATACTATGTACTAATTAAATGTTATGAACTGTTCGTGAAAAATATGTAGAGATAAATTACAATGTGGAGTAGTTGAAGACATCAATTGAAGTAAAAGTACCGGACATGATTTCATTGCACTATGGGTCATAATTAAAAGACAATGAGACCAAGTCTATAGCTTCGCGTAGAAATTTAAGCAATGACACCACACAGGTAAGGTAAAGCGGTGACACTGAGCTTGAGGTGCTTGAATTCTTGTCAATAAATTGCAAGTCCATACCGTGATTCGTCTAATTCGGTTTGAAGGACTTGGTAGCATCGCCAGCCCTCGGATTTAATGTTACACGAAGTCAAGTACATGAATTTGTACTTGGTAATAAGCCAATTCATTTGTATTCATTCATCCAGAACTTTCTGACCCTAACACTCTTGGAATAACTATCGTTAAATGAGGCACCCAATATGGTCAAAACAATAGATGAAAACGAAGGGAATTTGAGAAGGTAAGATAAACAATGATCAATGATACACCTTTTGTAAATATAATTAGTAAAACGCAGATAAGAGGAAAAAAGACGATACACAATGTCATAATATTAAGGGCTTATTTTGACGACGGTTATCTTTGTCAAGCATGTTCCTCAAGTGCTGAGTCAAAATATTGGCTTAACTATAGTCAAAAGCAGGTAGCACTTGATCTTCACTGCTTCAAATAATTTTAAAGTGTAAATTAATATGATTGGTATTAGAGTATGAAGAAAAATTGTCAAAGAGGAGATTAAAAATATACCGTATAGTTACGAGAAGTGTAAAAAATAAATGTTTATGAGAAACAAATAATATGAGTACAATTCTTTTATCAGTATTTGAATAAAACCAGGCTAAATCAAGTTCGGACTGAGTCAATGATAGACATTCAAAAGAAAACAGACATCCGCAACGATGGCTATGAATCCAGAACTAATTACATTATTACAAAGTGTAATTAATATGAAGTTGTAAACCCAAACTACCGATTACATGACAAGCAATCTCCAAACTAGGATATTAATTAATCTTAACAAATCTACAGTCTCATGGATGTCTTACCAAAGGGAAAAGTCTACACAAAACCGCTCAAAAACTACACATTAATGAAATATAAACGACAAGTCTGACAATCTGCATAAATCTAGTAGTGCAACTACACTGTGTAGTGAAAACATCTAAATAATCTGAGTGGTGGTAACAAATACGATCTAGCTAACTGAAAATCGGAAGCAGGAGAAGCTTGTAGACATGGATATCATAGATTTACTTAGGATTCAAAATAATCCTACTACTGAAATTAATTTGTGGTTAAGGTATCCAGCTTTCCTTTATTGAGTTGCCGATTTGCATTTCGCAACCCCTAGTTGGGTTTGCACAACTGAGTACTATCATCACTAAACTTCACAATAAAAAAGTAATGCCGCCTTATCACGGCAGTGTCGTTGTAAGTTAAGTACATAAACAAGTACTTTGTAAATCTATTATTTTACTTAGGTGAAAGTAGGAGATATGTAGTACAGTCAAAGCAGCCACTAAACTTACAACATTACAATGAAAATCCTTAAGCGTTCATCCTGTCACAACTAAGCTTAGAAAATACTAACTTATAAAATTAATCTTTGGTTGTAAGGTGAAGTTAACCAACAATTCCAACGCTTAAGCCAATTTCGACGGAACAATACACAAAAACGTTGACTGGGACTGACTAAACTGCAGTGTGTTAGTGTTTGGACTCACAGCAGAGATCTAGAGCTAATTGGAGAACACGGAATGAAGCCTGTAAATAAGCAGATCGGATTCCTCAATCAAGCGTCTTATCATTCAGACATTTGTTAATATACAGCAATATTGTCCTACAAAAACATTTCAACAGTGTTTCAAGAAATGAGAAGACGACTGCTTACCTGGTTAAATAGATAAGCTCGACCTTGACTTCCCTGAAAAGATTTACTTATGAGGTCGTCATGACGAGCTAAATGTGCACGACAGTGGAGGCAGCTGTACGTCAAAGAATTCTTTTCAAATGGGAAATAAGCCTGAAACTTTCCTTTGACCATATCGGTGACAACAGTTTCGTCACATTATGGAAAAACAGGTTGAATGACACAGCTGGTTGGTCAACGCGAATCAAATAATTATGAACAGAAAAATGACGTTGAGATCTAAAACGCAATAAACGGACTTTACACGCAATAGAAAAATATAAACATGAAAGACGAAGAAAAGGAGGTAATAAACTTACAGCTTCGTATAATTCGATGGGGGAGTAAAAGAATTATTGTTGGGTATGTTGAAGACGAATAACTATATATATTATATGCCCGAAGCTATTGTCACTAGCAAGTTTACTTTTCCCTTCCAGTTAATATAAGTGATATGACTAGTTACTTCCCTACAGTTACCTACACATACCCGAGCTAAATCGACTCCCATTTAAACTTGCGAAAAAGTATGCATAAGCACAACTGAAGTAAATAAACAATACAGTATCTAATATCTTGGCGACAAGCTTATATGAACTAACTATTTTCTTTGCACACACTTATTGATGTTACCATACAATTTTAGGTTCTTTTTTGGCTTCCGAAAGAGGTAGTATGGGTACTCGTCTGATCTATGTGAAATGAATTCGACAGGTATTTGTCAGTAGTTGTATTGGCTCTCAACCACACGGTCCTTAAAGCCAAAAATACGATAACTAAGAAGATTCACACCCGAGTTTTAACTCTTGGACAGGGTCAGAGATGGTGAATGCATGAAGACCTAATCAGTATAGCATAGCTCGGCCAAGCATACGTGGTCACCCTATGTAACTTATCCCTTTTTAAATCAAATGTATCACTCTATCATCGGATCAAGCGTGTTCCTCAGAAGTGCTAAACGTTATTATGCCGACTGTCACAATAGGACGAGTCAACTCAGACAATGATGTGGATACCAAGTAAGATCTTATGAATAAGGTAGTCACATAGCTAATCTACGATTTTAGGACTTAGTCTATCATAGTCTTATAAGATGAAAATTATTATATTGTAATGCTGAGGGACAACGGGAAAACGGTCGCCAGAAGTAGGCTAATTAGTTACGCAAACACTTAAGATAAACAAAGCGAAAGAAGAAAAAATGCATAGAGATAAGATGCTAGGTGAGTAAAAGCAGGCTAACTGTAATAATATTGATATTAGGGGTATTAATAATAATAAATGTCGAGTTAATTTACATGCCCTATCATTATCTCTTCCTTATTCCATTCGTTTTTTGTATTGCTCTATACTACTTGTTAAGATGTAGTAAATCGTCCCATTCCTAATACCCTACGAGCTGTACTGTGAGGTAAATCCGTTGTTACGTGATATTCTTGGTTTGTCATATTATTCGATGAAAATGAGTCCATTTAACATTGTAATCCTATCATATATATACTTGCGGCAGATATTTTTAATTTCAGTGTAATTGCTGAACGTGGTATGATTACCTACGTCCTTATCGAGAATTGAACACAATGTAGTAACCCTAACTGCCGAAAAAAAGAACTAGAAAACAAAAATAACACAGTGATTCGTTTTCCAACACTTATGGAAAGTTCGCTTACTAGTACAACAGTATTACCAGTGTCCTGATAACAACAGTAAGAACTGTGGTGTTTGAATGAACTAAGGATACCTTTGTACGTGTTGAATGCTTGATTTCGAATTCTAAATACAGTACATTCGTTTGTGGTTCGATTGTTTACAATATTAGGAACCAAGTGAGTCTGTTCCAATTTCGTTTATTAATTCTAATGCTAATGAGCACATTCTAGATAACACAGAGCCCTTATCCAGTACAATGTCCGACAGACACAGGATGAAATTGAGAGGAAGACGTACAATTGATTACAGACACCTAGACTTCAATCTAAGCCGTGGCGGATGTGGTGTTCGAATGAACTAAGGATACCTTTGTACTTGTTGAATGCTTGATTTCGAATTCTAAATACAGTACATTCGTTTGTGGTTATCTAGTACTTCTTGACCCGATTACGTTATTTCTGGCATTCTTAGTTCATACTATAAATCAAATACCCCCGTTTATTACAAGAACACATGTCATTCATAATTTCGTTAGGTATTCTCACTGACTCTGAAATCCAAACAATTTCCTCCTAATAGGAGAGAGTGAACTTTTGAGACTTTCCATAGAGCAATAAACCAGATGTTTCTTAATGTATAGTGTAGCCTCACTAACCAGTACTTTCTACTCATCCTTGGTTTAACAGTGAGTAGATCTGAAGAGTACAGAGTTTATAGAGATCAAAATAATACGTCGCCTCGTTCTCTTAGGAGTTCCCTGACCTCTTTTGTCATTCTTTGCAAACAGCTGCTAGGCCTGCATGGTACGATGTTATGGCTGAAAGGTTCCCTCACTGTACACCTGGGAGATGTTGAGCTTATTTAAAATCTATCATAAAATCTGAAGTTTAGTGCAAAATCACATGACAACTGCTGTCTATAAGTTGTAGAACATTTTTGTTGCGCGGGTAAACGACAATTTGTAGAGACAAAAAATTCGGTCCAAACGAGAATGAGCTATTCATACTGGACTTCGTAATATCCTCTCCCAGTTGCAGATTATCCTCGCTGCACTGTCGTTGAGCCGTGACTCCAGTTAAAACAGTCTTCATTTGCATTATATTGTAGGATTTTAAATATTCTATGGTCACTGATCAATTTATTCACGCAACTGGACTAACAGAATTAGTATACTGCGGTCGACCCTCTATGATGTTATTGCCGAATCTACGTTATCTTTGGACGAAGCCACATCATCATCCATATCGGCCAGCCCTAACATGACAGTCAGGGGAACTCTTTGTGAGAGTCTTTGAAGAATGCAACTCAGCCTAATGGTAAAATAATATATTTGATATACACATGGAGGAATTACAGTGACTGTGGCTTCACCATAGAATCATACAGTTTCAATTAAGATCCTACACCAGCCTTTCGGCTTTTACTATCCTTTATCTGCTATTCACTGTCTTGTTTTCTGCCATCCAATGTTGAAGCGGTTCAGTGTGATGGAAGATTCGTGTCTAGAGCTCAGTCTTACTCTACAGTCATAACTCTTTTTTCGAATGAAATAATAATTCCCTTCCGAGTGTCAGTATAATCCTGCTTTCTAGAATTAGTTAACAGAAGACGTTTTCTTCCTTTCCAACCATTTGGTCATATTAGGGTGACTTTATGTCAGGCGGTTCATTCAACCTCCTATATATTCCTATGGGCTCTGTAGGTGGACCCCAGCTGAATTGCCCGGTTATATACTATGGATACAGGCCCCAACCTTTACATGATAATATGCATGTCGATTTTTGGGACTTGGGTCTGTAGTGACCTACTTTTATCAAGAGAACGCGACTGGTTTGATAGAAGCAATTATTATTATAAACAATTGTACCAGTGATTGTTTTACTTGTTTGTTTGACTGTCCTGAAGACATTCTTCTCTCCATTGATTGTGACCTTGCATGCACTTACGTTTGCCCAGCGATTCCGCTTGTACTCTTTTGGCACGATCTCGGTACTCTCTCGATACCACGAGATCGCCAACAAATATAACTCGCAACAACCTCCGATCGCCTTTGACATCTGGTACGCAACCTTCTTGTAGTGGTGATCGTTGTCAATCGCGACTCGACGCCACACCACAGGTCTACCGATTCTCACAAATTACCGGCTCTCAACTTGATATTTTCTCACACGCAAAAAGCAGAGTTGTGGCCTTGAATGGGGTACTGTGGAGGGTTTCATGGCTCAGAATATGAACCACTGAAAGACTTCTTACACACCAAAAGTGGCCAGCTACCTATACTGCACGGTTTTTACTTAGCTAACATTTCCTCTCAGTTTAAAATTTCTGTGTTTGTAACTTCAAATGAGACAACTTGGTCTTCAATTTCTGTTACAGATAGTCCACTTACCAGTGGGATTTTATCCCTCATGGTGACAACTTCTTTCGTTGCGATCGTGTTTTTCATTGAGATTTCGGTATGTACAACAAAAATATTAACATTAAGCTCAATATTCTGACCACCACTGCCACAGTCAATCTTTCTGATAGTGATATGATACTCATAGTCTACTAGATAAGTACTGTCTTGATTGGGTAGCAAAAAATACTTATCCAGTGGTACGAAGGCTTTAATTGTCTCTTGTTTGCATCAGATTTTTAGATAGTATACGCCTGATGAAGTTAGTCAATACACTCATGTAGCATTTCTTCATAAATAGAGAAGTGGTGACTTAGCCCTCCACAAAGAAGAGTATGCTAATCCATTGAAAGAGACCACACAAAATGTGATACATAGAAGATAAAACAGGTAAAAATGGAGGACTTTCTAGCAAACTTCCAGAAAAGTGATAGCGACGCGCTTATATTTCTGAAAAGTACTAAAAACAAAAAAGCCGAAGTCTTCTGGGGGAATTAACGAAGAAGTTTAACCTAATTAATTCGAATAAAACCTATGTTTTTTGGTGCTGCAAAAGCATCAAAGATACGTTGATTCGAAACGATTCCAAGGGTCATGACCCTTTTTAAAAAGCGAGCGATTCTGTAGACACCAAGCATTGTAAGAGTAGTCAGGTGTTAAATCCAGAATTCTTGGATTTCCAGTGTACCTGTGTTGTTAAATTTTCACCTGTTAATACCATTTGAGTTCAAATAGATCAGAACGTAACGTCGGTAAGATTAAAATTTATGGAAGAACTTAGAGCGACGCCAACGTGACCTGGATAGTTTCTACCTACTTACTAGGTCTAAATGAGGGTTACAAAGCAGTTTAAAGAATAAGGATTATTATTCACAGTTGATGGTTAGGGTGAGGAATTAGATTCACGGTTTTTTTTCCAAAAGAACCGACATCAGCTAAAATGCCAAATGGATGGGTGAATTTCGCACCAAAATCCAAGACCTGTTGCCCTAAATTTGATCGCTTCGTTCATAAATTATAGCCTCGCCAAAATTTAAGTGGAAATAAGACTTATTACGGACGAATGATAAAACCCAACTACATAAGTGGGGAAATATTGCCACATGTCAAGAATCAATATTATATTTATTTAAAACCATGTGCCAATCTAAGTTAGTTAACCATTGAAAACCTGAGAGCACCGTGGAATGCTGAGGTGCTCCGTACTAGGGTTCGACAACTGTTCAGTGCTTCTAGGTTCTCATTGGTAGTCTAACTTAGATCGGTTGGAAGATATTCAGTGTTTGGCAACGCTTTTACCAGTAACTCCTTCTAATATAACTCGTACCAACCAATAGAAATCAAAAGACAGAATCGAGGAGATCGGAAGAGTGTATTTGGCGATAACCAATAAATCGGAATTGTCTGATCTAATCTGGCTAGCGATTGCGGTAGATGTTGAGCACGGCGTTCCCACACGTGATCTGGCGCGGATGCATGACCGAGCGCCTTCAGCTAGGTGAGTCCACTAAAACTAATCTGGTCAGCATCCAATGTCGAAAACTTACAGAGCTATTTAT